TCTCTCTCTCTCTCTCTCTCTCTCTCTCTCTCTCTCTCTCTCGGATGCTCACATATGTACAGCTACTATGTTCCTATGATTCCTATCCCTGAGTCTACCAGAAAAACTTCCCAACAATGAAAATGATTGAGGACTGCTACAACATAGCATTTCCATGTGATGTTTTGCTCTGGTCCAGTTTCATTTCGTTTCCTTTCCTTTCATTCCGTATGTTTTGTTTTTGAGTAACTGTATTAGTTTGCAACAGAAAGAAATGGAGAAGTCTTGCAGTACCTTAAATAAAGACTAACAAATTTATTCAGGCATGACCTTTCTTAAGTGAGAGCCTATTTTTGCGAACAATTTAAGCTGAGCAACTGTGTTCATTGTCTGGATGTTGAACTAGATTATTCTTGAGATCCCTTCAACATTCTGGCAAAGAAAGAGCTCATGCATTTCAGAACAGATTAATAAAGTCACTGATGAAAAGGTCTCCAGGTGTACAAGTTTGGCCAAGGAGAGCTGCCTTGTCCTGAAATAACAAGTATTCTCTGAAAGAGCCTGGTTAAGTTCCCTTGTTTCTGCCCCTTTAGCAGCACATGTCTTTCACATCACTCCAGGAAGGAGGAAGCCTTCTAGGGGGAGGATGAGCTCAGCAATGTTGCACCATGAGCTGCTTCTTTGTTTCAGTGCAAAACTTTGTCTTGCTTTTGAACTATAGAGCATGTGGCTATTTCCACCCCCATGGGCAACCTTTGTGATTCAGGCTGAACACTGTACAGGTGTGTGTCCCTAACTCTGTGTGTTCACACTGAAGCATCCTAACTTGAGGGAAGTTCCATAATGCATCCTGAAAAATGGGCCTTTCAGTGGAATGGTATTGGGAATTATTCCCATAACAGTCTGGTTTCTTTTTAGTTCTGGACATGATTAATAGTATAATAACCAGAGCTTTTTTTGTCAAAGAACACACTGGAATGGTGTTCCAGCACCATTTTTTTGATGGATTTTTCCAAGTGATTGTAAATCGCCCTGTTGGGCGTAGCAGATCCATGGCAAAAATCATTAACATAGTGCCTGCAGGCTGCTTGTGTGTTGGCGCTGATTGTGAGGGTGCTGCTCAGCTTTGGATTGGTTGTGTGGTCGCACGCTGAGCGCTTACTGCTGGTGGAGACCATTGTGCAACAGTGTGACCCCAAGACATGAGTTCCGGCACCTTTTTTTTTTTTTTTTTTACAAAAAAGGCACAGATAATAACTGTCAGCTCATGTGTACTTTCTTCCTGAAGTGATTTCTGTATGAATTTCCAGTTGAACTGAGCATTAGATTCAGCTGAAATCCAAAGCCTGAGCAGAATTGTGCACTTTTCTGTTGTCTCCAGAAACAAAATGAACTTGTTTATGAAAAAATCAGAATGAAAACATTGTTTTACAAAAGGTACATGCCCCCCCCTGCAAAAAAAAGAAAAAAGAAAAAAAAGATGCTTTTGCTTTCATTTCAGGAAGAAGAGCTGAGCGACTGACAAGTCCCCCTTCTGATCCCAGCACCCATTTTACCAATGGCTCCAAACACTGTATTCTGGGAAGGGCAAGGATAGAACCGTGCTTTAGTCCTTCTACCTTCCCAAGTCTTCACTTTGAAAGTAGTCAGAGCTCTTCTTTTAGTCATCATATACTCATAGTGTTTGGAGCAAGCAGAAAAAAATTCAGACCAAAGCAACATCGTATTTGCATTTTTGCAGTCTGGTGACATCAATATAATGTGAGTCCTGTGGAAGGAATTGCCTCAAGATGGTTTTCCCTAAGCATCAGGTAATGCAAAGGAAACCAAGGAGGCCAGAAGCTTCTGCAGATGGGATTGATCATTGAAAATCAGGACACTTTCATGCATGCTCAGCTACAGCCCAAGATTGGTTTTCTTTTCATTTTCCCCTCCCAGCCCCCTTTCCCCCAAAGCAATTAAATTTCTATAAAACTGAATGAATGAGGTCAAAAAAATCTGGAAGAAACATTTGGCACAACACAAATTTTAATATTGTTAAAAGGTTAAAAGGTTTGCATGTACTCCTGCAAGACCCCATTCTGAGCCAAATGATTCTGTCATCCACCAGTACAGACAGATATTATAGGTTAATTCAGCATTAATTTAGCTGCCGTTTCTCAGCAGATAATTTTTATGATTGATTTTCTTGGAATTTTCTCTTTGCCCCTTCCCAGAACTATTGGTGAATTGGACTTCCCTCTAGAAGATATTCAGGAAAACATTCTCCTTCCAGTTTTGCCACCCTGAAATAAAATATGTATTTTTGAGAGGCCCACTAAGGTTACCACCAAAACTATCCACAAGCCAAGCAGTGAAATCAAAGCCTGTAGGTTCCTCTTTTGAGGGTAGGGAGTGAAGCATCTCAAGGTTAGCAGAGAGAAAGGTTGGATAACACTAGCAAATGTTCACAAGCTTGTAACTGCTCATCACACTAAATGTAGCCTTGGATGTAGGTAAACCTGTCAAAAGACAGTACCATTTCTATGGCTGTTTATTTGCTCTGTGGTGTGGATTTTTCTCATTTATTTATTTACAGCATTTCCATATTGCTCCACATCCCAACAGATTCTGGAGCAATTAACACTACAAAGTCAACTAAAAGAATACAAACAATATATTAAATGCATCAAAACCAAGATAATAGCAAGAGGATGGCTGGTGAGCAAGGAAAGTTTCCTGGATACAGCATTATGTAGGTCCCTGCATGATCCCTGAGTCAGGGAATCCCATTGTAATGGGGCCACTGCACTGATGTGTCTTCTTCTGGTGAATGTTAGGTCGGCCATGGCCCATTAGAAGAGTGTCCTTTGATGACCTCAGTGAGGAGGAAGACTGATAAGGAATCGATATTTCATGACATTAGCATTATTTCTTCTTCTGCTCCTCTTCCTCCTCCTCCTGTTATTGGGCAGGAGCTCTTCCTTGACCTCTCTCCAGAGATACAGCAAAAGAGGTTCCTGGAGGCCATGGAGGATATAAGGTGTGCAACCCATTTCTTAGTATCTTGGTGTTTCAGAACCCTCAAATGTGTTATCACAAAATAAGTAAAAGTCATAGCAAGAAGCCATTTCAAATCACACATACACACACATTGACAGTATGCTAAAAGGAGGTTGTTCAAATAATTCAACACAGAGCAGTGTGAGGAGAAAAGCATATGCAAAGAGAGAGCCATCAGTGTGGGATTACATACAAATGAGGGTTTTTATTTTTCCTCTTAAACAGAAGAGATTAGCACTAGCTAAGATGCCAAATGCAAAAGCCATGCTGTATTAATCATTTCAAAGGCAGAAAAGGAATACACAGAGGCGGCTCCGTAACCTCTGTGGCTTCTCACTGTGACTAATAAAGCCAAAGCAGTGCACCTTGCCCTATGACTAGAAGGCTCTTGGCACACAAATCAGGCGGAGCCGATTGACGGATCAGCAGGATGTGGCAGCCATCAACAGCTATCAAAGTGGGTCATGTCCTAAGGACAAGATCTCAGGAACAGCTTAGAGGAAATAACAGGAAACAGAGACACGCATCATCGCGGCCAGTTGTATTGCAGACAGACACCTTTAAAATGTTCCACATCTTGCTAATAGTGTCATGAAACCTAATTCACACCATGTTCCGACTCCGCCATGCCCATCTTCATTGCTGAAGGCACAGTGTGAACTGGATTGTGACAGATTAGGATGTCCCTGAAGTCACTGGTCCTATGTTGGTCAGAGAATGGCACTGGATTATTATTTACTATAACATTACAATCAGAGTCTATCTTTTTGTCTTATGAGGAAAGCACTGCAGCTTGCAAAAGTCCTTCTCCTCTCCATTTTATCCTTGCAACAGCCCTGTGAGGTTGCATAGGCTGAAAGTCAGTGACTGGCCCCAAGCCATGCGTCCCCTTCCACCAGGTTGCACTGGCTTGGAGGTGGTACCCTAGTAACATTGCTTGCCAGCATGTCAATGGCTCCAACGCTCTCTGCTGGAGATCAGCTCCAAGCCCACTTGCTCTGTCTCTTCTTACTTGGCTTGCGAAAACCTGGCAGTGAGGGCAAGAATCCAAAATGTGGTCCTCCCAAATACAGAGGACACACATGGAATGTCTATCCCAGTGGTACCTTCAAGGCCATCAAGCTCATATGGGTGGACAATCGGGAGAGCACAAACAGAAAATTACTCAAAAGCAAATAACAAGAAAGATGGAAAACACATCAGCAGAAATAAGATAAAGACAGAAAAAACACCCAGTCAAAAATGCAGTGTGAAGAAGTCAGAACATTCCACACAAGGCTATTGCGAAGGTGTTCCTTGCAGGCTCAGTGCCCATCAGTGGAATTCAGGGACCATGAAGAACAGATTTTGCACAAACATGGTCATTCACGTTTACACAAAATCAGAGT